GCATCCGTCCTCGAGGATCCGTATGGCGGTCGGCGATACGTGCAGGACATGCCACCTCCGCCGACTGCCTATCGACGAGTCACCGACTATGCTCGTCCGGCTCCAAGCGAACGGCGACCGTACACTGGGGCTCTGGATGAACGAGAGCCGTTCCCACGTAGTGCCAGCGTGCAAGTGACCGAATACGGGACTCGCCGCCCCCCTTACCTGGACGAAGCCGAGCTTCCCCGGGAGCGGATCGTCCGAATGCCGAGTGTGCGCCCGCCCACTAGTCGGTACGAGGAGCCGCCGATGATCCAGCGGGTTGAGAGCGTGCGCCCGAGCGGTAGAGATGTGAGTGTCTACATGGATGATGCTGCCCGGCAGCCCAGAGAATACATTGAGCGGCCTGTATATGTCGCTACACGACCTGTGCGGGACGAGCGCTACTACGATGGCAGCAATCCAGCGGAGCGGGTCATCCTTGATGGGGGAAGGGATGTAGTCCACCGAGTACCTCAACGTTACTGAGGAAGGACGTATCATACTATAATGACCACGTGGACATGGAGATAATGTCCCGCGATGAATGATTGATTGTATTTGGCCCATTCGCCTCGGATATATCAATTGCCTTTGATTGAATTATGTTGTATCTAAAAAGCGATTTGTGTTTGAATGCATCGAGCATTCTGTACCATAGTAGAGCAGCATATCACTATGAGGGGAGAGAGAAGGGAAGAATAAGAGCAATGAATAGCCGCATAATCTCTTGCATCAGAAATACCACTACAAATTGTTTAGAAATCGGGTGTCGAGTGACATGATAGATTCCACAACACAATGGCTTCATCATCGCAAGACGGCTGTTTCCAAGTGGGAAGACATGTAGCATGAACGCAATATAAGATACATAATCATCAACCTACCGTAACCATTATGCTGGCATAATTTCGGTACTCAAATTAGAAAATGGTAGGCAGACAAATTACCTGAGAATAGAACAAACACACAAGGGGGTTGACTAGTACCTCCTTACTCCGTGGGTAGATAGGGAGATAGATAGGCGTGCGGTCGATTATCAGGGATAGTGTAGGAGCGCAAAATCGTCCATCTATCCTTCCATCCATCCATCCAACATCAAGATGTGTGTGGTTCATTAATGCATTGTTAGTCAATGGCTGAAGTGAGGAAGGTATGGTATGACTGCTGGTGTGTGGACAGTTAAGTTGAAAGGAGGAATGGGGATCACTCATGTTAGTGGGTTCAGCGGCGTTTATATGCTGGGTTCGGTGTCTTATTCGAGAAAATTCTGCAGGCAGCAAGAATAGATTAGTTAAGTGGCTAGCTAGGGAAACTAAAAGTAGGATATGTTAACTAAGAATTTAGTAGTTTCCTTTAGTTAAGAGTTAAGGGATCGGTAGTTCATAGTTAGTCTATACTGTGAAAGGTAAGTAGGTTAGTGTCTGAATGCTATCTCTCAGAGACCAAGTATGAGGTAGCAGCACGGAGATATACACAGTAGATTGATACAAAGTAGTTGGTGGTACAAAGTAGTACTTTTGTCCCTTGTTTCTTCAGATTCATTTCGATGTTATTACAATTCTTGCTGGTTAATTAACTACCACAATAATAGCCATGACATTATATGTAACCGAGTATGTAACGATGTTACCTAGCTACAAAGTAGCCCATCTCAGCATGCAAATCAAGAACGAACAACACACAACCAAGTATCTGTTCCCAGGGCAGAACATATCCCAAAGTACATGCATGTCCCCTGCCAGTGTTGACTTGTAAGTAACTTACAAAGTAATCCAGTAAGTACCAAATTATGGTGATATTCGAGACCCACATCCATGTCACCGATAGATGACGTCGACGAATATATTTCTCTTCGATCGTTGGATGATCTTACTCATCTTTACTTTACATTACTTGATCATCATCATCATCACAATAGCTATTCTATTGCTTATAGGATTGATCTCCTTGTTAAATCACTGTAGATTGTCATGCCATTACTGTGGTGGATTGTGATGAGGTGGTGAAGTGGTTACATCAGTGATCAACGGTGGGTTGCTGCAGGCAGGCAGTGTTAGGAGGAAATATGTGTCCTTACGTCCGGTATCTGTCTTCTTGTCTTACTTTGTACAGAGTACTTTCTTTCTATTGACATCATAGATAGGTACTTGTGTAATTAGTACCTGAGGGATATGATACTCTGTCTGTCTGCATAGTTATCATCTATATTGTCGTCTACTTTGTATATATCCCAGATCCCATTACCTCTCTCTGGCACTAAATAGATCGATCGAGCAATTCATGACAGTCGTAATACAATTGTATAACCCAAACCTTAACATCAACGTTGATCATCACCAATCCTCCGACACACACGGAGTAATGGAAGAGTGTCTGTTGGTCCACGGATCCAGAATTTCCTACCATTGGGTTTCCCCGGATAGGCTTAGATAGATGGGATTCTTAGATACTACAAAGTAGAATGAATGAATGATGATAATCACGATAACAAAGCGCCACCAAGCATGATCGTGACACAACTGACTAGGGATGGAGGATCTCCCCTTGTCATGGATGAATCGATGGATACACCCGGGCGGAGAAAAGAGGAAATTGAAAATGAAAAAGAGGGAAAAAAAGGTCAAGTCATGATACACGGTGACGCAAGGTGGGTTTATCACTGTCTCAGGATTTCGGGTCTTACTTGTTTCGTTTCACTTGTGTCTGTCTTGTCTGTCTATCTATCAAACCAGACGGGTCAAGTAAGCTGGGGTCTGTGTTGGGTGGCTGTCTGTGTGTCTGTCAGGTTGGGTAGGTTGGCACATGACTAGTTACTATTTATCTATCTTTTACTTTCAATCCCTACAATTCATGTATATCTGTCTTAGTTGCTTAGTATATGCTATAGCTAAGTAAAGTAAAATGTGTTTATTCTGCATCTTGAAAATTCCACCCGTCTCCATGGCATCACAGCAAGTTATTCAGCCCCGACTGGTATGGTATGGATAGACAGACAGAACCGACGCCAGTGGCAAATGGGGAGACGAAGGGAGCCCAGCCGGGCCACCCCCCCTCCTTCCTTCCTCCCTCGATTCCCAGGCTTCTTCCTCCCGAGTCCCCCGAAGAAAGTGATGATGTACCTTACCTGGTGAAACAATACCCTTTCAAGATAGCAACAACCAATGATGACGAGTGGATGGCGGGCTGGCGCTGCCCCGGTACCTACAGGTGTCGAGCTGTGGATGGCAAACAGCTTGCTTTCCTGGAGCTTCCGAGCTGGAGTGAGTGTGTATGTGTGTCCGACACAAACCGGGGATCAATGATTGATTGATTGATTGATTGATTGATTGCAGATGCAGATGTAGATGCAGATGCAAATGCAGTTTTTGCATTGATGTGTGTAATGTGTAGCTATCTCCTTGGAGGCTATTCAGCCTGAGGCATGAGTACCTGGTAGCGTAATAGGAATACAGCGTAATGCCGGGCAACCACGTGATTTACGGGACCGGGATTTCTCGCTTGCAGACCCGAAACGGGCAAGCCGGGTGGAGCCGTGCAGGGACGACTAGGATGAACGCAATCGAGGATGTGAAGTGGAATATCTTCCCACCCCCCCCTTCTTCTCGTAGGGGCTGTGTATGGTCTCTAGGATAATTCAAGAGAGGTAATTAATGGAAGAATAACGTTGTAAAGTTTTATATTAGTTTTATAAAGTATTTGACTCGAGGTCAAAAGAGAGAGAGAGAGTTAGTTTTCTGGGGCCAGAAATTGAGTTTACTTTTTCTCCCATGGTGATGACGAGAAATGGACGACAGGTCCAGTAGTCAAAGAGAGTTTCCCGTGTGGAATTCCAAGGCCAGTCAGTTCACCCTCAGATACTAGTCTAGTCTACAAAAAGTATGTTGGCGGGTGGATGATGAAAGGAGTCATTCTTTTCTGGAAATGTTGATTGGAGGGGACCCTAAGGAGGTCGAGATTCAGGCGATAAACGATACTAGTCAACTAGTAAACTAGCGTCAGCTGGGAAAATCAAAAGAATAGCAAGTGATCAGAGCGAGGGGAGAGGGCAGCAGCAGTAGCAGCAGTAGCAGCAGGAATGGCCACACCAGGTTTCGAGTGGTACTTTGGCTCCAGGCGATGCAAACATTGGGCCTAGACACTGGGCTGAGTACCCGCCCTTCCCGCCTGAGGACTCGAAGGGAGAGACTGACTGACTGACTGACTGACTGACCATCATGGGGATGGATGCAATTGAGAATAAATAAAACCCAGAAGATAGAGGAATTTAGAATCTATATTAGATATTAGGACAGTAATCAACTGTATCTCTATAGATGTGGAGATTTGAAAAGAATTCAAGTGTAACTTGACTCGCCCCCATGGTATGTCAGTATAAGCTGGGTAGCTCCTCGAGGTCGAGTCGAGTCCCTTTGGAATCGGTGCCTGGGAAAAAAGAGAAAGAAAGAAGGTGTGAAGAAAAGGGAAATTCCCACTCTCTCACTCTCACTGACTTTGACTGATGTTGCTCTTCTGCTCTCTCCGCCCCTCCAAAAAGCCATCCACACCAACTTTCCAGCAACGCAGCCAAAGCAGCTGAAAAGAGGCGCTGACTGGCTCTGCTGCTTGCCTGAATTCGGCCAGAGGAATTCCATCCATTCCCTTTCCATCATCTCTTGCTCTTCCTTCCTTTCTCTCTCGCTCTCTTCTCCTCTTTCTTCCCCCCCTCAAAATCCAGTCTAAAGCTTTTGCTGCTGGTGCTGCCAACAGACCCCCAACGCCGTTTTGTTGATCCATCATCCCATTCTCGTTTTCCCTTCCTCTCTTCCTCTTCCCTTTTCTGCTTTGGATTTATTTCCTTCTTCCCTATTTTTTTCTTTTTCCTTTTTCCTTCCTTAGTCCTGCTTTTTTTTCCCACTTCCGCGCCCTTCCCCTCCCTCCGTCTTCATTTCTTCCAATCCTCTTTCTTCTTCATCTGTGCACCTCCCCCTCCTTCTTGCTTGATACCCGTTTTGGTTGTAGACCTGATTGTGATTCATCCTTTTTCCCTCCCATTCCGATTCCACCCCGTCCGTGGCCAGTCACCCTCCTCCACAAACAACCATCTTCCTGCCATCTGCGCGCCCACTTCCTGTCGGGAACGGCGACTGCAGCTCTCGACTGTCACCTTTCGTCTCTCCAATCCCGTCCGTCTTCTCTCATCCTCCGCTTCTTCTCTTCCCCCCCTCCTCGCCCATTCGTTCGCCATTCCCTCCCCTCCGGCCCTCCACAACCTTCTCTCCCCTCGACTTTGTTCAAGGGGCTAGAGACTTGACCTCCCCTTGTCATGCACAAGATTTCCAATTTTACGGGCCAGGCCCGTCATGGCTGGGAGCGAATGACGCCCACCTTTGGCATGTCTCGACCGCATACCGACATGACTTCTCACTCTCTCCGTCGACCGCATGGCGCGCCGCCCATGACTCCTCCGACCGGCATCGACCCGACCGTCAATCTCTCGTTCAACGTGCCCTTCTCCTCGACTCTTGCCGGTCCCGACGTCGACGATGTCCTGCATGCGAGCCCTGGCGCCCTTCAACGTTGGACCTTCCCCGAGGGCACTCCCGAAGGCACCCCCGTCCACCAGCTTCCGGTTCACGCGAGCAATGTCGACGCCCTGCGGAGATTGTGTCGACAAATCACCGAAAGCAGTAACGGGAGGGTCGAGGCGGCTGTGACCTCCTCGGAGCCCAAGACTGTTCCTTCGCTACAACGGCGCCCCCAGGGTTTGGCGACCAATGTCTGCATCACGGGTGATGGAGAGACGGTGCGGAAGATGCGAGCGAGGGTGTTGAACGAGACCCCGATCTTGTTGGTATGTTGAAATATTTTCACGTTATGGTACTTGGATCCCGTTATATCCGCTAACGGGTCATGTTGTAGCGATGTGCGACCGTGGATGTGGACATGCACCTGATCCTGGACGGAACCACCAAGAATATCCGAGCGAGCGTCTTGGAGCATCTGGATACGCTGGCGGCCTATACGGGCACGGATATCTTCCTCCTGAGCCCCAAAATCCGCGATACGGATAGTGCGGTGGTGTCTTCTTATGGTTACGCTTCAGATAATGGGCTGGATCAACGCTTCCGGGTGTCCATCTACGGCGATATGGAGAGCGCTGAGCATGCCAAGACCAGGGTCTTGATTATGATCGATCAGATTGTGGGTTCTTTCTTCCGACCGATCAACGTCCTGGAAACTAACTGCTACTAGCTTAAACGTCACGTGGATGCCGTGAAGCTGGAGCTGACCATGCACACCTTGGTCTGCGGCCGTACCCGCAAGAACATCAAGCTGATTGAGGCGGCCACTGGCACGGCCATTTACTTCCCGCCGCCATTTCCCCGCATTTTCGGCTACACGCCGCCGGGTGCTCACCGTCGCAGCGAGAACGAGGTCTACATTACCGGTGATACGCAGGAGCAGATTGCACGTGCGAAGCAAAAGCTTCAGGAACTGGTGATGGGCGTGAAGATCTATGTCAAGGATGTCATTGTCAACTCGAACAAGATCGACAACATTCTGCTCGACCGTCTGGACAAGGTCCGGAAGGTGATGGAGATGAACGGCTCCTACGTCCTCTTCCCTCAGCTGGGTACGCAGCGCGGTCTGGTTCGCATCCAGGGCACCGAAGTGTTGCACGTCGAGCGCACCGTGCGGGAGATCATGGCTTTGGTAGGGTTACTCTACGCGTAGACTGCTTTGTGTCTGGACTAACGTTTGCAGGCTGGTCAATTTTACAGCGCATCGTGGTGGATCATTATGCCCGACCCGTCGCAAGGGGGTTTCCGGGCGCCGTCTCCCGCAGACGTCCGCACCATGCTCTCCGACATTTGCAGCAACTCGGGCGCTGAAGTCAGCTTTGACAACCTGACCTTCACCATCAACGGCTCGGATGACGCGGTCAAGGCAGCAATGATGGTGATCAACCAGATCCCTTTTGTGCAGCGCAGCCAATACCAGATGCGCGTGAAGATCGAACTCGCCAACGAGCACAAGGAATTCGTCAGCGGCAAGAAGAACGGAAAGATCAACAAGATCATGGGCCAGAGTGAGTTTGCCGTATTCGCCACATGATCCGATATTAACGTATATAGGCAACGTGCAAATCATCTTCGATGGTTTCAACGAGTACAACTTCTACATTGACGTGTGTGGAAACCAGTACGAGTCCACCAAGAATGGCTTGGATCTTGTTGAACAGGAAATGCCGGCGTCGATCTCATTCCACGTGCCAGACCAGTACCACAAGCGCATCATCGGCATTGGCGGCCAGCACATCCAGCGCATCATGAAGAAATACTCGGTGTTTGTCAAGTTCTCCAACGCCATGGACCGTGGTGGCATGGGCAAGGAGGAAGATGACATCAAGGTTGACAATGTCATTTGCCGGACCCCTGCCCGTAACGCCCAGAGTCTGGACTTGGTCAAGCAGGAGATTATGGACATGGTCGAGAAAGTCGTAAGTCCGGCCATTTTCCGTTTTGAGTGTCGTTGCTAATTGGACAGGATGCCGAGTATGTCTCCGAACGTGTCGTCATCAACCGGCTGTATCACCGTGAACTACTTGCGCGCATGTCCGAAATCGATGAGCTCGAGAAGAAGTGGAACTGCAAGATCGAGTTCCCTAGCACCGAACTTGCCAGTGACGTCGTGACTATTTCCGGACCCGAGTACCAGGTCCCACAGGCCGTTGACGCCTTACTGGTAAGTAGACCGCCCAGTATGGATATCATCAGTTCTAACGTTAGCAGGGAATGGTTCCGGAGAGCCACGAGCTACTCTTCCAGAGCTCCGCCGAGCTGCGCGAGTATTTCAAGTCGACCGAGTTCCACGACGACGTGTGTGCCAAGCTCAAGGACCAATACGAGGTCGATACCACCGTTGATACTAGTTCGGACCCTCCGGCCTCGGCTTCGGAGAGTGGCTCTTCTTCGCCCGTCTTCGGGCCGGAAGACCGGGTTGTGCTCGGATATACTCGCAACAATGCCGGCGGACTCAAGGATGCCATCGACTTCCTGATCTCCCGATTGGTCGCTCACGGCCTTGACGCAACTACGGTCAAGGGAGCTATTCCCCGTCCCAAGTCGGACTCTTTTGAAGAGTCTCTCCCCTTCTTTGACTCCAAGTTGCTGCAGCATGCGCCTGCTCCCATTGTCACCGACTCCCCCACTCGACCCAGTTTCTCGGATGAGACCAGCGAGCGCGGGTCCATCTTCGAGAGACTGCGGAAGCCTGGCAGCATCTCTTCCTTTTCTTCGTTCATTGGCCGCAAGAATCACTCGGCCTCTCCCGGATCGTTCTTTAAGCATGCCTCCAGTAACGCCTCGAAGGCGTCACTGGTCTCCATGGAGTCTCGAGACAGTGGCTACCGCAACCCATGGAATGATTCTGGCGTGAACCTTGCCGAGGACGACGTGCCTGTCCTCGGAAGTTCTCACAGCCACAGCAGCAGCAATGGCTGGCCCGCGCGCTTTGACACCAAATTTCCATTCGGTACCGCGCCAGGGGACATGACCCCCAAGCATGACCCGCGCGCTTCTTTTGACAGTGGTCGTCCTAGTACTTCCAATTCTACTTCTGGATACCCGGCCCCAATCGGGCCACCGCGTTAAAATCAATGTCAATTTGCAGCAGTATACCCCAAGAGACTTCTGTTTTTTCTTTTCTTCTTTTAGTTTCTGTTTTTCGTTTTGATTTGTTGTCAGCGATTCGTGTTTCGGATTTATTTTGATACCACAGAGTGCAAGCCAAATAAGACGTCAGGAAGTGAAAGAAAAGATGCAAAAAAAGCACTAGAGGGAAGAAGAATACGAGAAAGGCATTAGCATTGCATAATCCTTTCCTTCCCTGTCATATTCTCCCCTCTACACCTGGATTCTATTCTTGCGAGATGTTCGTCATTGATCTCCTTATTGTGCTTGGTCGTTTTCAGCCGGGGTGTGTAGGTGCCAAATGTGTGTGCCCTTGGGAAGGTTTTATATGAGATACCAAACCGTGGAAGATGGGAAATTTTGCGTTCATACATTCCAGATATGATACCAAGTGAAACGATGGTGTACGAAGGTGTTTTTCTTGCTACAGATGTCGGTTTTGAAGTGATCATTGCAATCGCATATTTGCCTTTTGCCTGGGATGGATTCTTCCCAAACCAACTCATTTAGTCCTTTGCCCTGTTTTGTTTTGGTTGTTTTTGCCTTTATCATATACCTCTATGCGTACGATATCCAAGATCTATAGCGCGTAGTCATGAATGGGGTTGAATGTCTCGTTGCAACTTGTCCTGCCTTCGATGAACATGACGTAGATACGAACTATTACTGTCAGTACAATTGGAACCTGCGTGCATTGGATTCAATATAGTGGTGGCAGATACCAGCCAAGACCTACATACTCTTCCAACCACGTCTCTACAGATTAAATAAGGAGCCCTACGTGTCCTCGCTCTCTCGAATGCCCCAAAATACTTCAAGTCTATATCATATAATCATTTTCCAACATCCTTTTCACTCAAATCCATTCAACCAAATCTTCTTCCTTCACCATACCCATTCCATTAGTTAAAGCCACTCACTCACCATTATTACCTGAGATGACATCCTCCTTTAGTATAAAAACTTCCTCCCTGCCGGCCTCCATCTTCTCAATTTGTCTCTTCTATTGATATCTCTCTATCTCAACATCTAAAGGGATGAAGAACAATCCCTTCAAATATACAAATGGAACCCTTCAATACTTAGTACATTAGTACACAGTCTAGTCTACATGTTAGAATGACACTACCAACCCAAGAAAAATATAACATTTGATACTACTCCAAGTATACTACCAATCAGGCATCTTCTGGATTCCAGTCTGAGGGTTACATTGAGCTAGCTCACCGTTAATAAACGCACATGCAGAGCGAGAATGAGCCGTTGTCACACACGTCTGTTGCGAACGTACAACAGACTAGCATGGTGAAGATAAGATCCGATTTCTCAGGACCATGGTGCTGAAACTGCAGCATTTTCTGGGAATGGCCTCTAGACGGATAGCTTTATGCCTGAAGTTCGTACGGAGGTTATCATGCGAGATGGAGGGAAAAGAGGGGCAGGGGGGTGCTGGCTGGCGTTCGATTCGTTTCAGGCTATTGATATGGACTCTTCCGTCGTTCACTTTATTGTCCGTCGCGCATATATCTACTTCCCCAAGCTTGGATATACGCATACGCATATCTACTCGAGGATGGCAGGAAGAGACAAGAAAGAGAGCCGACTATACTCTTTAATATTGTGTTCCGACAAAAAAATACCCTAAACGAAATTCGCAGGGACTAGATATGGACCATTGCTCTCCCCCAGACGTAGCTGGGTGGGCTGAGTACGTGTCTAAAGGATTGGACAGTACACGGATGGTCTCTCTAATGGAGTAATTTCACACTCGTTTAGCATATTAGAAAGGAGGCAAGGGGCGTGGGTTGGAACGGACCGACTGTATCTTTGACAAGTCTCGTCCGAGATCTTTTCCTAGATAATGGATCAACTTTGAAGATGAGATCAATTCCTTTGGAGTTATATATCTACACTGACTTATCTCTACCAAAGGGACGGAATAACAGCATACGTCCTACCATTCCAGCTTCTACATGAGCACATGGTTCTAAAAGCGGTAGTACCTTCCATATAGGACCAAATGAAGAGCTGGAGTATATAGTCGGGGCAGGAACAGAACCCTTGAGATGAGTGATGGGTCGGTACAGACCGCTACTCCCGCTGTCCAGCACCACAGATTATAATCACCTTCAAGTCAGCCGGTAGCGGGGTAGGATTGTTGGTAAGTGGTTACAATATTGGTGGAGTGGAGTGGGCTTGAATCTTCACATGTGCTGCGCAAGTGCCCATCTTATGCGGCGTTCTAAAGGACTCAATCCCGGAACTACAGGGAATTGGACGAGCTGGCTCGAGGTACAGAAGGTCTGGATTCAATCAGGGAGGAGGACTTGCTCCCGAGTCTGGCCAGTAGACTCTGTTGTTCCAGTGATCCGCGTGTCTAGTTCTCAAATGTGCGACTGAGTGCACATTACACCATACTTCAATACCATCGAACACAGTCGTTACATACAAACATGTCTCCCAACATGAGTGATGCGAATACTGGAGGGATAAATAATCATCATAAGCTCGGCTGCTTTCCTAAGTTAGTGATGGATACGGTCTGCCCGATGTGCGTCTGCAGAATTATAACGATTATATACTCAGAAGAAGTGGCCAAAGCATGTTCGTATTGTGGAGTTACTGTAACTAGGGATGAGAAGAACTGCTCTTTCTCTGGGAAGATGTCTCGCAATGCAGTACATGCAGTATTGCCTCCTCCTTAGTGATGGAGTTCTTACCGTTCTGCAGTCTGTTGTCATTTTATACAACCATACAGTTCTATTGAGGCCTAGATGTCTTATGGGACCGAGGCAAGTACCTATTCGTCGTGCACTCGAAATGCACGTCCGAAAGCCTTAATGGTAACGACAGGATCCGGAATAGTATGTCGCTCTAGTCTATGCGCAGCGCTACTTTATCTGCTGTTGAGGAGTACATCCCCATGAAGGACGGCGTGGTTCATTATAGAAACAGCTATTTCTTATTCCAACCCGGCTGGATGCCATTTTTCTCACCACTTTAGCAGTTAAGAAGCGGCTCGATTTCCGGCAGCATAGCCACAAATCTTCGGCCTCATCACAGGGGTCGTACAAGTCAGTATGTTCAGTTTGAGAAGAACTTAAAGTTTAAGTTTGAATAGATCTACGACAAGATCAAGTGCCTCCTTCAGGGCCGCACGAATTATTCTTTTTGGCATAAAGATGCCAATTTAGCGATACATGAAAGATGGGGGTGTGTGGCGGAATTTTGGCAGCGAGTGGACGTACAAATACCTAGACATGGGATTCATTGTCTGTCTTTTGTTCGTTTCCTTTGTGCTCGAAAACTTCACGATGCCAAGTCGAAACACGAGAGTCAAGCAGGAAATCCCTGCTGACATCCGCTGCCTGTTGTGTATACATTGTCTCCGCCATATCAACAAAATATACAAGCCGGAGGAAGGCGTCGACTATGACATCCGTTGTTCTATGGACGGGCGTTTTTCGGTACTGTGTCGCTTTGATCATGAGGACAAAAAGACTTGTGATCCCGTACGTTTCGCTCAGTTCTTAAAATCAGTTGGACTGAGATAATAAAGACAGCTTGAAGGGCAAGGATGATTTCACTACGGAAGGACTTGTTGGGACACGAATGTCGGGGTGCTTATCCAAATTTAATTTGAATTCTCCAGCTTCGAACGAGGTTGTATTTGGCATAAACCCGGAGCTTTTCGCATGGTTCTCGATGTATGGTGTTAATGAAGTCCAGCCCGGAGGGAACGAAGAAGAGATGGAGGCTATGATCTAGGATGAACAGGGGACTATGCTATAGGGCGGTGGGTGGTAGGTGGTTGTCAGTGATACGATGATAAACCTTGAATTAGGGAAAATATGCCCTTAATGGCATTAGACTATTATATAGCGAATTCTCTATCGATGATGAATGTGAAACTTGGATGTAGTCAACTCTACTTTCATGGCCTACTGTAGGGATCATTTCCGATAGAAGACCGACTGTCCACTATTTCTACGCCGTCTTGTCGATCAGCTGCATTAGATCTCGTTATATTTGTCAATCGTTCCCTTATGAAACTCTGTGACTGAAATTCACTTGCATATCAACTGATTCGACTAATCCCTTAATCAAGTACTAGAGTAACATGTTATCTTTGCTTATATCCATCACTAATTTCCAGTGATATCACTGAGTTTCCTCACGACTCCTACGCTCTTCTTCCTCCATCTCTTTTGCATTTGCGCTCCTCTTCGGCACGTCTTTCCTGCCACTAAACCATTCTCTTTTAGCAAACGCAGATGAGGTTCGCAGACTTTTGTAGTACCCCACCTTGGCGTGTTTGTTCGACTTCTCTATCACAAACAACACAGTTCGATTGCGGGGGATGTTCCAAGGCACGTCTTCTCCTCGGTCCAGATCCGCCAGAGCTTCCCAATAGCATGTCCTTGCCAAAATTTCAGTGAGCGGATCCGGACCATCCCCGGGATGATGCCAATTGCTGCAAGCTCCTCATCCGTACAGTCCACCTGGAGTTCTTCGTTGTCTAACCAATTTTGTTGGACTCGTAGGCGAGTGACATTTTCAGGGCTCACATCCAGCAGAGTCTCGATGGGAGATCCTATCTACCCTCGACTGCTGGTTAATCCGGATAAAAACCTAGTCGCAGTTATCGGTCAAAATGCCATAGACCGACCCGTACGGCATCTTTGTCTCAGAATGAATAATCTGTGCTGCACTGTAGCATGCACTTCATCTTGTTGTAGATCCATTCAAACTTTAAGTTTTTCTCAAACTGAATATGTACCCAATTATACGACCCCTGCGATGTTGTCGAAGATTTGTGGCTACACTGCCTAACTCCAGCCGCTTCCTAGCTGCTAAAGTGGTGAGAAAGATGGCATCCAGCCGGATTCGAATTAGGGCTTCATTTTCGTCGGATCTGCCAACGGCGAGACTGTAGTCGGACAGAATTTGTCCTTGTCGTTCATTGTTTTGTTAGCTATTGCTACCGTTTGGATCGACATAGGTCACCAACCACATCCGGAAGGCATCTTGGTCCATCTCTTCCCCGGGTCAAACGTCCTCAGGGCATACTTCCGGACTCGTTATATATTCCGTACTCCGTCTCCGGTCGAAAGACACGGGATAGTACTGGAAAACCAAAGTACTGAAACTTGCTGGAAGTAGAAGCATCCATTTTCATACATATAGTATGTGAGTCGACCAACATGCCTTACCGGGATGAGTACCAGAGGGATTCCCATTAGGGTTTCGTTATCGTCCAAGTATCACGCCTTTCGGCTATTCAGCGTAGAATTTAGTCGACGAATATGTAGCCTATGCGTCCATCCATGCTGTATCTGCGCGGGTAGTAACTTCTGATTTCGATTGGAGGGCGCAGTGTACCCATTCGCCTGTACGGCGGGCATTATTGGCAATCATCAGACAAATACAATTTAGTGGTTACCGGCAGAATGGAGCTGTACGTATCGCAACCGATGACTATAGGATCGTCGCCCAGGCTCTGGACGGTTTTCGGATCGTCTTTTCACTCCAGTGGAATAGTACTAATACGGGCTCCCATCAAGGTTATCTCATCCTCTGCTATTAAACGTATAGCTGTAAGGAGTGTGACTAGTCGTAAGAACACCCCATGCTGAGTCTCGGATAGAGCAAATGATGCTTGATATTGAGCAAGACATCAATCCGATGGATAGCGTTGTCTCTTCAGCAGATGCGTTTTGGCGTGGTTTGACCACTTCTCGGCCCTTTTTCCATGGTCGGACCTTTTGTAATGCCCATGATTTATTCCCTTGCATCTTTTATAGAAAGGACCCGGTTCCACACCATTATCGCTCTCACTCCAAGTAAGATGGTTATATGTAAGATGGTGAGAGCTATGGCTTGTTCGATCTGTCTGTTTGGATTCAAAGCCAGATTGAAGGGGGAAGAGGCTCTCAGTATGTTCTGAGTAGGAATATCTCTAAGATTGTACTTCGATGATAGGTAGGGTTTGAGCATTCCACTTCCTTGGGGCTTTTTTCTTTCGGTACTCAGTGTCCAGTGTCCGAAAACCACTCAGGGCTTTTGTGCGTCTATCGTGGGTTTTGGTTGCTAGGATCTTTTTTGTCGGTGCTCATATCTTCTATATTCTTATATTATGATATATGGTTTATGGTAGTATTGGTGGAATACCCCTTTAGATAGGATAATGATTCTGATAATATAGAAGATATAGTATGAAAGCCAGGACTGATGCTGTTGAAGAAGGGATAATAGAGAAGGAAGGAGGTCTGGTCTACGGGGCGAGATGGAGTTTATATAGTCAGGTCCAGAACTACCTAGGTGAATCAGGAGATTCAATAAGATGGAGTAGGTGAAGTGGTATCTTGCTTGGAAAATGGTGTAGATTGAAGGAGCAGGTGAGTATTCAATGGGTGTAGTGACAGAGGTAGTTCGGTTCGATTTGGAGTGATTGCTAGTAGGGCATTGCGGGAGGTTATCCGGATATTGCATCGTAGTATCTGATAATCTATCTTATCCCATCAGCTACTTGTTACACAAAGTCTTTAATTTGAATGCGTTAAAACTCTATCATACTATCACGAGTTGATCTGTTATTACTATATGACCCAACTTTAATGATCCTTCCTATCCGCATAGAAATATATAGGTACTACCACTGTTCTCGTCCTCCAATATCCTGCTGCCAAATAAACATCAACAATATCAACTCCACGACCCCTAGCCTCGCCAATTACTAACATGCAATCTCTACTCTCCCCACTGTAATCCACCTATCTCCGTGTTCTGAAGCCATAATCCGACGGACGTGCCCGGAGTTAACGCCTATACCCGAAATAGGTGGGTCTTCACCACCAACTTGGCTGCTCAAGTAGTATGTAGTTTCGGGAGATCAAGTCATGTTAGACCCTTGATTGCCGATGTAGGTGAAAAATTGGGAGATAGACAACTTTTTGTAGTATGCATACCTGTCCTATATTAGAAAAGATCTGACCGACCTGATCAGGTCCCGCGGGACCCTGACCATGTGGCGTGCATGGTACTGAGTATATTAGAGTAAAGCTTTCCGTGGACCTGAAGTGAGGTTGTGATGGGTTTCATCATTGTGCTGTTTCGTTCAACTTATCCCTGAGCCTGTGTGTATTTCGTCGATATTCTTGCATTCAACATACGCCATCTCCAAGCCACTGGTATATCCTACAATGCAGTCATTCACACTCCCCCTCCCGAACAATGCTACGGTGGCCGGCATACACTCGATTCCAGACCCGAACACATCTCTCCGCCATCGTCCACTGATTGTTGCCTTGCACGGTGGGACTTACGACTGCCATTATTTTGATGGCACGCCAGACTGTTCCGCCTCCAGAGCAAGTATTGCTTTCGGCGTCCCGTTCGTGTCTATTGACCGACCTTGCGTTGGTGGAACCAGCTCATTTCTACCCGTCCCGGAGGGATCGAACTTCAATCAAGAGACTGGGCGCTGGTTGCATAGCTATATCCTCCCAGCCTTATGGTCCAAGTTCGGCGGCGGTTGCAATTGCATTGTCCTCCTGTGCCATAGTCTTGGTGTCATGGGAGGCACCGTCGCTGCGGCGATGCACGCACAGGATGAGAAGCCGCGATATCCACTCGGAGGGCTAATCGCAAGCGGAATGGGTGACAAGTTGGCGCCATCGGCAAATAGCTCTCCTCCACCCGTGTATGAGAAGGTCAGCTCGGATTACGTTTCGATGCCTGCGGATGTCAAGGATAGAATAATGTTCAAGCCAGGAACCTGTAGTTCAGAAGTTCTGGCTCACAGTGACCGCCTGAATGCAGCAATGCCCCTTGTGGAGTTACAACAGTTTCCAACTATTTGGCTTCCTACATGGCGAGAATATTGGGCGAAGCATGTCGTAGCACCCGTTATGTTCGCACTCGTGGAGGACGATGTCTTTTTCGAGGCATCTGAGGAGGAAACCAGAAGCTGCACGGCAGCATTCGCAAACAGCGTCCGGGTTGATGGCAGTCTGGTCAAAGGCGCACCTCATTGCATTGAACTGAGCTATTGGTCGCAGGGGTGGTACGCGCGTTGTTTCGGATTTGCGTTGGAATGCTCCGCCAGTTTATTCGCTGTTTGTGAAGTTACACAAGAAGCCTAGAAAATAAGCAGAAGCAGAATGATCCATATCGCACTGGAGTTCAAGCACAACCACAATCCCCAGTAATCGCTAGAAATCGCTGGTAATCGCTGTTTGGACAGTAAATGTGCAGCCGGCAGGAAAAATTGTACTCTGCGTGAGCGCATTGCCCTGACTCAGGCATTCACAAATCCCGCAAAAGCCGCAATAAAAGACAGGTGAATCTGACATGAGTCGGATGATCGGACACAGCGGCAAGAGCCGTCCATGCAAGGGACACTTCTGCTCTGTTCTTGTTGGTGCTTGTCAACGTAACGTAAGAGAAATTATACCTCCATTCAGAAGCGGCTGCTTCGTTACCTTGCAATTAACAAGGCACTTGATCGGGCCAAGACAAACATTTAGAGTCAGGTGGTTGACTGCGGCGTGGGATGCCGGTGATATGAGACCCGAAAACACCGTGTACGGAGCTGAAATGCCCAATAGGGTTACCTTGCATTAGGCGAGGGGCCCCTGGTCAATGTAGGTTGCTTTGCAGTGCCCGACACCGGTTTTAGTGCAGAATAAGTGCGCAGTAGTAGACGCAGCATTGGCATATTTACCTGCATCGATGGTCCCACTATGCACCCGCGGTTCTCGGAAGGCATAAGAACATCCGTCGAGCGAGCCAGAAGGCTAGAAGGGATTCAATCAATATGCAGGCTGACCACCATGAGTGTCATGCCCGGTATCGTCAGACAGGATAGGCCAGGGTGCCTTCAGCAACTGCTTCATGCTACCTACCTACTCGATGCCTCAGTACTGAAATCCAGCGCAGGGGTCAACTCATGATACGCCATGAACTACTCCTTCGAGCCTTCGTGTTTTAAGTTGGATCCGCCAAAGTAGGCTAACAGCTGCGTCATTTGGCCTGCATCTGGAATCCATTGACCGCTTGACAGAAGGGGCACCGTCTGACCACCATTCTACGCATTCTCGTCAAGAAAGCCTCGCAACGGTACACCGGGTCGACGAACCGGATGAGGCCCTGAATGCTGACCTGGATGCCTTGGCGCACCACGGTGGCCAACCGTGGCTCCTAGCTTGCCTCACCAACGCTAAATGATGAAGGATCACGGCAATCGATCAACATGAGCGCCACCAACGGACCCTGCAGTAGCTAGAGGTAATCCAAACGAGCAGAGATTGCAGGATCAATAGCAATAGGGGCAGCTTTTGATTTGGATCAGCAAAACTATCTCGCAAGGCTCCGGATATGATGCAGTAATGTAGTGCCGAGACAAGGGTAATAGTAGGAGGACTGTGGTATAGGAGAACGTTGCTGCCATCAAGAAGACTTCAAGCAAGCACGGGCTTGATGCTCGAATGTCATTGGCTCCCCTGAACACAGAGAAGCGTCCCGAGTAGGAAAGTCCGGGGCCGAGTGACAAAACACCTTGACTCGGCGGTGTCTACTAGTATCGTTGCCTGGGAGCGACACACGAGCTGGCATCGGATATGTCCGCCTGGAAGCACAGCAGATGAAAGGAGGTGATCTGACCAACAGTCAGCCATAGCATTCCGTCAGTGTCCGAGAAGCGAAAAATTGACCCACGTTACTCGTGGTCGACATCCAGCCACGTACCAGAGATCATTCCCGCAAGGGATAGATACGGCATATTCAGCGACCATGTGGGATACCATCCGACACGTCCGTCCGTCACTGATATGCCTGGACCATATGGAGCCACTGTTCGGTATACAGTGGGAGTAGAAAGATTGGTGACGAGAATGGGTCCCAGAATAGGCGTTGATTAGAGTTTCAAAGAGATGTGGTTGCCATCAAGCAGCAGGACGGTGTCCCGCAACGTGATCGCTAGACGCACTCCCACTGGCTGATGGTTGTGTCTAAGCGCCAAGATCCCCCTCGGTTTTAAGCAACTAAACTTAGGAGATCGACTAGTAGGCTAGGTATCGACATGCATCCTCCATGTCTCTGCCGCACCAACATCCAGCATGGGTACGTAGGTCGTATCTAGATCAGCCATGACAGATGACTGACCATCCGTCTGTCAGAGTTACGTAGTGAGGCTGTGTGTCGACTGGCGCATTCATTTCCCCCTTGATGTGCCTTTTCGAAAAGGCGTGGAACAAGATTTGCGACACTATGGAATTTTGACTCGAGAGATCTGTCAGCATCAAGATTATGCAAGGGAGTAGCTGACAAGTCAACGAACTCAGTAGTGAGTAGTGAGTACGTAGTATGGGGAGAAAGCGGCCAAATGGGACGTGCGTGGTAGTTGGTGGTCGTGTGAGGTTCTCAACCGTCAATGATAGGAACCCCTCCTTCTCCATGGCAGCCAAAAAAAGTGTCTCCCCCCCCACACCTCATGATCGTGTAGCAATTAGCAAAGCGGTTACTCCGCAGGACTACCCGTGTGTAGCGTTGAGACATGATTGACTTGATTGACTTGTTGGCTTTGAAATGCAATGCTCACCTGGCCTCCTTCCCTTCTGGGTAGCCAGCCAGCGTGGAGAGAAAAGACCTGCTTATGCCCGCTTATGCTGGTCGCTGCCACCCCAGCAGCCGAATGCAGACCAGCTGTCATCTGATTGGTGCGGGTGGAGAAGAGGGTCTTTGATTCTAGAAGGCGGTATCAGACGATCCGGCGGGATTCGAGGGGATTCTGCCACCACGTGCGCCGTTGATTGGCCGGCGGCACAAGTTCGCGTCCGGAGGATCCCCGCCGACTTAATCATCGCACTAAAACTAAAGTAATCTATTCTACTTTAGTTCCGCCGCCACTCGACCCGATGTGGGCTGCATTAAAAAAGTGCTGTATCCATTGGAGTCATTAACTAAGGTCAATTAGGCAAGAAACCACGAGATCCATCTCCAGCTACCTGCAAGTAAGGGGAGAATGATTGCCCAGGTTGTGGTCGTATGTTCAGACCCTGGAAAAAAAAAAAGAAGCTCACCTCTTGCGTTCTGCAGTGCAACCATCTCCCCGGTGTGCTGTTGTGTTGTGCTGTCGTGATATGAACTGAATCCCCGGCAACACACAGAGTCAAAAGATAAAAAGGAAAAAAAAAATATATGCTTTTCGAGGCTCGTGGGAAGTTTCACCCGCTTCTAGGGTTGCTTGGCTCTGCACCAGAAGGTGGTTCTGGGCAAGATGGGGCAGACTTGCCCTGCCATTCACCACTGACACGGCAGCCTCGACTTCGGAGTCCCAGTGGAACCCGCCACACTACGTTGGATCTTCTCCGCTACCCAGTCCTGCTTTTGGCTTATCACGTTCCACCATTCGGACATGTGCCTGGAGCACGCTGGTGGGCTGGTTCTGGTCCACGCCTGCCCAGAGATTTTCCTTTTGCCGTCACCCTCCGAATATAAGTTTCGACGGCTGGCCGTTGTCCGACTTGGCCCGCATCGTGTGTGACGCCTTCATCACGGTCAATCTGAGCTTGCTCTCACTTCCTCCTCTTCTCCTCTCTTAGGAGATCTCACTCTCACGGACGTTGCAAGCTCTCTCGCGTCCACCCCCTCTCCGCCGTCAATTCTCCGGACTGTCGGACCACTTCTCGACTGGTCCTTCGACGACGCCACCATGACGGACTTCGGCCTACGCGCTCCCCATGGGCCCGATATGTCGGGAACCCATAATCCTCTCGAGGATATGGATATTCACGAGAAGGGTGCCTTTGACGCCCTCATTCGCCCCGACGATAGCTATACCCCCGATGGCACGTATTGGGCCGACTTGCCGCTTCTGAAGCGGGTCAAGTTCGTCGGTTCCTACGACGCGGCAGAAGCCAAGCGGGAACTCAGTTCGATCTGGCAGATGACAAAGGAAGATCCTCTATCGCCCATCTCGTATTATTTCCGGAATATGGTTCTTCCTGGTGCTGGTCTGGGTCTCGAGGGGTTCGTATTCATCCATATCAACGGTTTCTGGAGGCGCGTTATACTCACATTTTTCCCTCTCTAGTTACGTTTTGTTCTCCATCGGAAACATCAAGCCATTGTTCGAGGCCTCCTTCAAGTCCTGCTGGGATGACCATACGATTTGCAACAAACAATGGATCAACGCTGTCGATTATCTCGAGATTGTCGGTATCATTTTCGGTCAGATCTTGGTCGGAATTGTTGGTGACTGGTAAGTTTTCGATTCCTGGCAAATACATCGCGGCAATTATGGCTAACCTGATAATAGGCTCGGTCGTCGCTGGGGTCTTATCCAGGATGCTGCTATCATGTTGCTGGGTTTGGTGATGCTTACCGCTGCTTGGGGTGTCACTGAGAACGGCTGGGTTATTTGCTACGCTTGGTCATTGTTCGTCTACGGTATTGGTGTTGGTAAGTACTCAATGAGACGAGAAGTCTGTCGTGCTTCTCACTAACAATATGATTCTAGGTGGTGAATATCCCATGACTGCCACTAGCGGTATGGAAAATGCTGTCGGCTCCGGAAAAGTCTCGACCAAGGAGGACCGCCTTCACCGTGGTCGTAAGGTCACCAGTGCTTTCTTGATGCAGGGTTGGGGTCAATTCTTCAACCAGGCCATCCTGATTATTCTGCTGCTTATTTTCCACCACGGTAGTGGTAACCCGCCTTACTCTTCGGTGGCTACCCAGTGGACCTACCGCATTTCGTTCGCCATTCCCGCCGTCGGCACCTTGTGGCTTGTGTACTACCGTGCTTACCACATGAAGGCCGCCAGCAAGCAGCTTGCGGCGGCTAAGAAGAAGGCCTCTGTTACTGGATACGATGTCAACTCCTTGAAGCTGACCTTCCGTTATTTCGGTTTCCGCATTATCGCTACCGCGGGTGGCTGGTTCGCCAACGACGTCTTCTTTTACGGAAACAAGCTTTTCAGTTCCGAGTTCATCAAGGTGCTTAGCCCTGGAAGCACGTCTATCATGCCAACATGGCTCTGGAGTTTGTGCAACATCGGAGTCTCATTGGCTGGTTACTACTGTGCGTCATTCTTTGTCGACAACAAGCTTTACGGTCGTAAGTGGATGCAGATGATCGGTTTCCTCATGTGCTTCATCCTCTTCGTCGTCCCTGCTTTCCACTACGAGTACTACACTCGGCCTGAGAACATCCACGCTTTCCAGGCGATGTACTTCTTGAGTTCTTTCTTCAACCAGTTCGGACCCAACTCTGTCACTTTCCTGGTGGCTGCCGAGGTGTTCCCGACTCCCATTCGTGCGACTGCTCACGGTCTCTCTGCTGCTTGCGGTAAGAGCGGTGCGCTTCTGGCATCCGTCTTGTACAACTACATCGACACTCAAACCAAGTTCTACGTTGTCCCTTGGTTCGGTCTTGGTGGCATGGTCTTGACTCTGTTGTTCCTGCCCGATACCACTGGTCTTGATTTGAAGGAGCAGGAGCGTCGCTGGCAGTACATCCGCGACGGCCGCGAGCAAGATTACCATGGCCCTGCTATCCACGCCAAGCACCTTTCCCTCTGGGAGCGAGTGACCGGCGTCGGAAAGAACTACGACGCCGAACTCGACTACAAGCAGAAGGTCGAGGAGTACCGTGCCGAGTGGGAGGCTGCTATGACCGCCAAGATCTCCGAGAACGAGAAGGGCGAGGACTTCGTGCAGGACACGGATGACTCCCTCCTTGAGGGCCATGTCCATGCCTACTTCCACCGCACCAGTCCCATGTTCCGCCCGATGGAGCAGACTGCCACTAAGACGGATAATTTCGCGCTGCCTCCTGCGGCGCAAGATTCGTCTACGGAATCATATTACGAAAAGTCCGAACTATAAACTGGCGTTCTTCTTTTCTTTCATTTTGGGTGTTCATTTTTGGAAAGCGAGCATGTGTGATTGATTGGATGTGGCACGTCAGATTTTGGATGATGATGACACGCATTCCATTTTTGCATTCTTAGTACATTGTTTTTCCCTTGTCAGCTGTCGAGCGAGAGATGTCTTCATTCCTTTCGTCTTGCACTCAATACCCAGGTACATACATGGTACTCGTTAGTATATAGACCTTGATTAATATCATATACCCATGAAGTGATGGTTCGCATCATTGATCTTTCCCCACATACAACA